ATTAGACGATCAACCCCAACTCGAAAGTGAGGTCGCCTCCTTTCTCGACCGCACTCCGCTGGGTTTTGGCAAAGGAGCATCAAGAAATTTTCTGAGCGTTGAAGACAAGTGGTGGACACTCATGGTAGATATAAGACCGGTCAGGAGTTGTAAACAAAAAAGATAAAATTAAAATCAAAAATTTGAAAAAGTGTTGCAGGACTTTCTTTCCAACCTAATATTAATTTCCCGTAATCACTGCATCTTTTTCTTCCAAATGGAACGAAGAGTTTACTCATTCAATACATTATTACGGCACCATTCTCTTTTTTTTTCTTGGAACGAGCGCTTTGCGAGCGCCGCAGTTTACATTCGTGGGTTTTACGCAGTGAAGAAAAACTAGATATTACAATTTTTTCAGCAATAGTCACTGCGTAAATACGGGGAACTATGGGGGGTTTCGACAAAAGGACGTGTAATAAAGTGCAACGTGACTAAAGCTCCATTTAACCCCTCTCACTGAGTTAGCTGGAATCTTTTTTTTGAAAAGAATCACAAAAATGTTACACAGAATGCTGGGTTGTAAACAAAACTTCGCAGCCGGGATTCGAACCCGCACCCCTCGTTTTCCGGACAAGTGCGCTACCAGTTACGCTACCGGGGCACCATTTCATTACAACTCGGCTCTTATCACAAAAACGTTCCCATTGTTCCATTCAAAAAGTATATCTCAATGCATAAAATTTGGCTTTTACTTCTATTACACTTCTCATTAACGTATTCTGCTAAGCAAGGAAACCGATAGACATCAAACCAGCAGGAATTTTTGTAGGACTCAAAAACACCCCTCAAGTAAAGCATACTGAATATCTCCGTGGAGCATTTCAAGTGAACCATTCATTAGACCCTAGTTTTTTGCTGATACCAGAAATATCCAATAAGGTAAGGTGCAAGCAGATTACCGCTGGCAGGCCATGTAGGCCGTCATCGCCCCAGCAACATTAAGTTCTGCAGCCTATGTGGGCTGCCAAAAAAACTGAAGTGAACCGTTCCTCATGATGGGTGGACGGTTTTTAACAATACGAGAAAACTGAGCAACTAACGTTTCCACCAACATCCGCCTGCTCCTTAGATTTCACTGAATAGGTTGCACCAGAGACATCGGAATCACGACGTTCATTAGCGTTCGCTCGACTTTTCGACGAACCCTGTGCGAAAAATAAAGCACTCCAAATGATAACGAATCTACTGAAAGCCATACCTTGCCAACAGCCGCCAATCTCTCCTCGTATTTTCGAGTGAATTTCTGTTTTTGAGCAATGATTGATTGCTGTTCCATGATTAGGGGCCTCTCGATCACCCTGTATTATAGAGCTTGAGACATTGTACTACAATTGGTGAATGAATTGGAAGATACCTCTGCTGCATCTCTATTAAAAACTTCTCGTAGTCTCTCGTGCTTTCTGCTGCATGTTTGCTGCAAAAGGATAAAATTTAACAGGAATTTCGAGGAGAAAATTAAAGCCAATAGTCAAAACAATTGGCGCATGTGCCTCGGGGGGGGGGGGGCAGTCGCCGCGCGCGCTCGTGCGGCAACAGGAAATTCGTGAGCCAGGGGGAGTGTAGCCAATTCAGGGGGGTTGGGGGTGAGGGCAGTCACATGACATGCGTGAGAAGCTGGAATGTTCGAATTTCCTGTTGCCGCACAGCCGCGCGCGGTGACTGCCCCCCCCCCCCCCGGCACCTAGCGCCAACAATTTACTGAAGAAGTGAGTAGGTTGATCTGTTCTTTGTTACACGTCGTAGCAACTTCGTCGAATTTCCCTATAATATTAGGTTGTCTCGAAAGTTCGTGCGTATTTTTTGGATCTCATGCCACAAGCTCCTTCAACAAATTCAAAATGTGTTCACGTAGGCTGTGGATAGGGCACACTGTGCAGTAGCTTATACCCGAATCCTGCCCACCATCGTCGCCTTCTTCGAGTTCAAAGTGGAAAGAGAAAAGAGCTATGTTTTTCGCGCTCTGACTTAAGCAGCTCTACTGAGCCACAAACCGATTGAAGCCTGAAGCGGCATCTGCATCGCGATACATCTCCTCGCCCTCACCAACAGTGAGGTATCAGAATAGCTGGATCTTCTCTGCCCAGGAGACTACAGCCGGTAGAAAAATCCACGTTCAGAGAGGCCATCAGTGTCGGATTTGGAGAATCTGTGCTCTCTCGTGGGAGTCACTCCACACGGGGCTACCTGCTTTGTGGCAACCACATCCTGGTGTTCCAGATGCACAATGCGTAGAGGTTCTCGCTCCTTCGTAGAATGGTTGAAGCCTCACCAAAGATTCCCTCATGAGTTGATCACTGATGACAGGAGTGCGGCACGAGTCCCGTCTACAATTTGTGTCCAGCTCCATCCGTACGCCCTGGTTGAACAAAGCTACTACTGCAGTTGAGAAGCTCAGGTTCCATGACAACCACACCTAGAATCTCCAGGGACTAGATCGGACAGAAGAGGGTGAAAAGTGAAGAAATTCACCACAAGGTCGTGCTCCACCTCTTTTGGAGCGTTATCGAGTAAGCCACTAGAGACATGTCAATCATTATAGATATGAATTCACTCAAGTGTAGGGAGATCAACGGCAGAGACTCACGGTGAAACCCCAACAAATGTCGTTAAAACTCGAAAAAGTGTGTACGCTCCACAACACCCGAGGCCACACATTTCGATAATGAAGCGATTCTGAATATCGAAGCCCAGCTGAAAAGGCCTACCACATTCATCGTGCAGCGGTAGTCATTCTCTTTCGAAAGACATCTGCCCTTTCTGCTCAGCCGCCTTCTTGACGACAAAAAATACGATTCCCATTAGCACCTCAAAATCGACCTCACTGCCTTTTTCAGCTCATAACTGCCAGCCCTTTGAGAGTTAAGTTGCCAATCTTTGGTTGGATGTTGGTAACAAGTCACTGATAGTGGTGGTACATATAATGATGATAGGTTGCACACGTGCTTGGAATAGTGCAGGCTCAAAAATAAGTTCAAAATACGCACGAACTTCTGAGACAACCTAATATATGATATGATGTTTAAGATTCCCACTTTACAGCAAATCGAAACGTCCTGTATGAAGCGCTATATCTGTTTGTTTGCTTCCTTCTGTGCAAGTTTGAAAGCTCTGTTCCCCACTACCCGCATATCCTACATAGTTTTTGCATTTTTCAGGCGCTCTCAGTTCCAGTTTTAATTTTGTGTGTTGCGGTGTTCGTCTAAGGGCGGTATTCAATCCTTCCCCTAGGGGTTGGGGGACGAAAAACCCTTTAAATTTTCTCCGTCTTCCCAACTGGGATTGTCCTGATAAAGGGCTAGGTTTAATGTATGTTTATGTCACAGTAAACATGCATTGAAAATGGAAGAAACTACATCGTAAAAATTACCCTAATTTCCGGTGTATAAGCCCGCGCCGATTTCACGTAAAACCACCCCCGCTCGTGCAGTGTAACTTTGTACACCTTAGAAACCACCGCAAATTTGCCTATAGAGGTAAGTCGATGCCCTGATCACGAAAATGACTTTCATTTTCAGCGCTGGCGCCATCTGGCGCCAGTTGGCGCCACCTTGTCACGACCCTTGTTTTCGTCAAAATCGGTGTAAACTTCAGTATAGGGGTTATTTGGGACCCTGATTACGAATATGACATTCATTATAGGCGCTGGCGCTGTTTGACGCCTATTTTCTGCTCGTCTGCGCTCTCCAACCGAGACATGTGCACTAAACAACGTTAACGCCAAAAACGAATGTCATATTCGTAATCAGGGTCCCAAATAACCCCTATACTGAAGTTTACACCGATTTTGGCGAAAACAAGGGTCGTGACAAGGTGGCGCCAACTGGCGCCAGATGCCGCCACCGCTAAAAACGAATGTCGTTTTCGTGATCAGCATATCGAATTACCCCTATGGGCATGTTACGGTTGACTCTAGATGTACTCAAGTACACTGCACCAGTGGAGGTGTTTTTACATGATACTAGCGGGGGCTTATACACCGGAAAATAGGGTATTTTAAAGGGCTTCCATCCTCCAACCCTTGGGGAAGGATGTATACCCGCCCCAGAAAAGTCCGTAGCTTCAGTTCGCATTTTTCTCCTCCTCATCAAATCAAATATTCTTTTGTCTACTCGCCACGGCATTAAAAGAGGATTCCACAATAAGATCGAAGGTGAAAGAAGGGAAAACTACCGTTGTGCGCAAGGAACCCAAAGAGTGCGGACCGGCACGCAATTCGTAGCAAAGAACTTGTCCCCGATGATCTAACATCGTCTTCCGCGACGTAAATGGCGGCGGCACGCCCATCGATTGCATGCCTCCCCATTCGCCGCGGGATCTAGCCTTTTGGTAGAGAGCCTTAGCGTTGAAGAGGGCAGCACCGATGAGAGTCACATCGGTGCGGAAATCGACGAACAAGGAAGGGGTCATAGTGATCGTGTTCTAGATCACATGATTTTTCTTAATCTTGGCACCACACACAACTTCTGCCTTGATTTTATTGGGCTGCCTTCTATTCGTAAAATCCGCCTTTGAGTGAGCAACCATTAGAAGCCGGGTTTGGGTTGAGATGGATGGGCTCACAGCATAAAATAGCAAAAAAACCACAGATCGTCATGGTCAAGATGAGATTGATATCCATGTCTGAATTGCGCTACGATTACAAGTCTCCTTTCTGAATCTGCTAACTGTTTTTTTTTTCATGCCCAAGAGGGTTTTATTGATAGAATTCATAAAATAGCCTAAACTTATAGGTACAAGGAGCCCTTAGGAAATCGTAATACTTCTAGAACTTATTTCCCCATGATGGCTCCCGTAGCGCATGCGCGAGGTTTTCTGCGAGAAACAGGTGTAGACTTCCCAAAATTGAGTCTTACACTTGACCCTTGGGAAAACGGGGGGGGTGGGAAAGTTGGGATAATCATGCATTATCTCATGTCTTGACTGATTCAGTGGTAAGTTGAACGAACACAGTCACTAGCCTACTACAGGGATACGGTCAAATGAAACCCACATTTTCTCAGCTGTCTTCTTTTCAATCTCTTCGCTGACGTTTGGCAATGAACCCATTGACGACATCAGCTTCAGCCGACTAAGATCCATCTCATCTCTTCTATCTTCCCAGAACTTTTCAGATCGATGACGTTCTACGCTGAGCATCTCCTGACGCTGCCTGAACTAGCCTTTTCTTCTTTCCAGTAGGACCGGCTTTTGATTGCGTCTCGGTCTTCCGAGACATTTCGTTCATCTTCAACATTTTTGCTATTCAAATACATATTTCCCACCTGATAGCTTCCTTTCTGATCGTTGACGAGTGCGTCGGTCGGATGGCGACATCTCCCCTTGACATTCTCCGTATGCTTTGGGCTCGCCAACGTGGCGGTGATGACGATTTGCACTACAAAATACGATCGATTCCTTTACCAAACTCATCATCCCGAGGGTTAAAAGTTAGGCGAAAATAATCGAACGAAGACTAATTTTTTACCTGACGATGATGATATGCTTTTGGATCGGTTAAGTGAAATGGTCGTGGTACGGTTGTGGCTTTATGAGGAGCGCTCTTGAGGGCGTTCTCCATCTGCAGAATTGACAGTAATTAATCGTTCCTTCCCGATCTTCATCAGGATTGATGCACTACGATGACCTACAGTCAGAATTTTCAAAAGACTAGTAGATTACTTCTCACAAAGGTGATGCTTCTGTAGAGGCAGCCAGCTCAGGTTATCAATGACTTCAACTCTAAAAGCCCCTGCCGATTCGAATGTTTCATACTGTGAGACTGATATGATATTCCATGTAAGCATTTTCAATTTTTACAAAAAAAATAAACTAAAACGCGGACGCCCTTTATCGGTCTTCCTTTTTGAGACGAGCTCGTCGTTTCCAAGAGAATTTCAGGAAACTTATGATTAATCAGGGAGTTCTCTGTCCCTCTACGCCTTCCGATTGAGGGTGCATTTCACATCACATGAAAATGATTATTGCACTCAAAAAGAAGAGTAGATATATGAAATCATCGAAGTGACAGCTACATATTCAAAAGAAACAGTGTAAATGGGAGCCTCCTTATTCTGTGTGGTAAATAAGCAGCAGACACAAAAGAAACAGGCAGTCTAGGAGACAACGTGCGCAGAGCCGAGAAAATGGTCGCAGATATATAAGAGACCATGGGAGAATGTGGACACGCAGTTACCGCAACGGTGGGTGGACAATGTCGCATGGAGCGTGCGTTGATACAGGTTCTAAACACCTAGCGATCTAGCCAT